GCACGTCGTACATGACAGCAAATAAGTGAGACTTAAATTAACATCTTTTAAACCGTAGAGTGACTCACAAAAATAAATAGCTAAGAGTTTACTGTAAAGCCTTATATTGATAAGCCAAACATTCAAACCATGATGATGAGAGGAACATGGCTCTAACACACATTGTTAAAATACTCTGTAACAAGTACAAGTTTCCAATACAGAAAATGCACAAATTAACTTTGGAGCTCACCTGTGTTACCACGGAGACGACGAGCGTCACCAGCAGGATCCACGTGAGAGGGTTCGCCAGCACGTAAACATCATCAACCACTACCGACAGAGACGGAGAGAGAGGATGGTGTTTTAAAATCAAAGAATCGCATTTCATTTCGTCTTATTTTACAATATTTAAATTCATATTCTGTTTTTGTATATCCCATATTCTATTTACATGTATAGAGACTTTTTGCATGACTTTTTATTTTGTATTTTGTAATATATATTGCATTGTTGGAGGAGCTCAGCTCAGGAGCATTTCATTGCCACTTCTACTCTGTAGCTTTGAGCATATGATGATAAATCCTTAGTTCAAATTGATGCAGCAGAAACGGAGAGATGGTGTTTCACCGGTGTTGATGGCGATGGCGAGGCCCTTCACGGAGGCGACGGTGAACGCCCCGAGCAGCGAGCAGACGCTGATGTACACGAGGATGTTGGAGCGACCGACCCGAGGAGAGAAATAGAAAACGAGCACCGAACACAGCAGCAGCACCGCCGACAAGTACACCAGGAAACCTGCGGAGGAGAAATCAAGACGTGTTATTAAATACAAAAAATATGTGAATCTTTTATTGATATAACAGCCGGTGGCTCTGTTTGCCAAATGTTGTTTACATTTGGCCATGTTTCTTGTTTTGACTCAGGAAATGTATTTAGTGAGAGACTTGTTGTAACTTAACAATACATAAAAGCCCTTTTAAGATTCAACATGTTGGAGTCACATGTTCAGAATGAGACCACTTTAAAGTCTGTAATGTAAGTAAGTTAGCTTTGGTTTCTCAACATTGAATTGGTTTGGTTAGAGCCGGAGTTTAACCTAATTGACGTATGTAGTCAAGATCGTATAAATGACTACAACTCCAAGGCTCTAAAGCAGGGAGGTCAAACTCAAGGCCTGGGGGCCAAATCCGGCCCGTGACTTCATTTCATGCGGCCCCACAAGAGCTTGCAAAGAATATAATATGTTTATTATACGGTTACACACGTTGCCCATAAACTACATCTCCCACAATGCATCTCAAATTAGACTTCTCTTCTTAGAATTTGACTTTTTTTTCAAAATGTCACTTCCTTTTTTTTACTTTGACTTTTTTCCCATAATTTGGCTTTTCTTTTTAAATCATTTTGTGACATTCTCACTGAAGAGACTTGCAATTATTTACCCTAGACTTCTGCTTTCAGACGTAGTTAATCATGAAGTTATTACCCTATCAGTTAATAATCCAATGCAGAGGCAATGATGTGATATCATACATTATTTTAAATATATTAAATATTTCTATATGTATTTTTATATAGTCTTAAAGTCTCAACCGGCCCGTTGAGTGCAACCATAATGCTAATGTGGCCCGCGATGAAATTGAGTTTGACACCCCTGCTCTAAAGAGACTGAGATGGGCAACCAGACCCAAAGACGCCAAAGAAAGAAAGACCACCCAAGTTGTTTATCATGTTGTGTTGACTAAAGGCCTGTTGTCTTTGAGTAAACACCTCACAATAGCAACATTCTGCATTAGAGCAGAGGAAGGAAGCCGCGACAGGAGTCTCAAACTTGGATCTTTGGTTTCTCAACATTGGATCCTCTGAACTTTAGTTTATAAGCTCACCGGGCTCCAGCAGCTTGTCGGTCATGTCCTGTAGTGATGTCACTTCCTGTTCTTGTGGGGCGTGGATCACCAACAGGATGCTTCCCAAAACACACAACAAACAGCCCAGTTTCCCCATCACGTTCAGCTGCTCCCCCAACAGGTAGGGCGCCAGAACTGCACTGAAACACAGCAAATATGCTTATTTATTCATCCTACAAACATGGGGAAAGAAATCTCTAGTCCAATATATTAACTTCTTACCTTTGTACAATTATTTTGTATTCTATTGCATTTTTTTATTGCACATTTCTTCTATACATTCCAGTTTGTTATATTTCACCTTTTTACTGTTTATATACGTCTTCTTTCATTTTTCAATTTCTAAAATGGGGAACCATCATGACATCATTTCTAGAAGCTAAAATACTTGAACTGAGATGTGAATATATTGTGAGAGCTACGGCTACCTGATGAGGACACTCAGGGCTCCGAGCGGCGTCACCAGCGTGGCCGGAGCGAACATGTAGGCGGCGAAGTTACACACCTCTCCAACTCCCACTGCAGAAACGCACATACACAGAACCATGAATATACCTTTCATTGATTCAGTTAAGCTTAAAGAAGGTTTATTTACAGCCGAGCAAGCGCTCAAAGGCTTTTAGCAACAATGTCACAACTTCAGGATTTCTCTAGAAAGATATAGTACGAGTTCTATGTCTCTGATCTTGTTTATAAAATATATCAATTATCTCGAGAACATGAAGCCAGTAAACAAGATGTCTCCTGAAGTAAACAAGATGTCTCCTGACGTAAACAAGATGTCTCCTGACGTAAACAAGATGTCTCCTGACGCAAACAAGATGTCTCCTGACACAAACAAGATGTCTCCTGACGCAAACAAGATGTCTCCTGACGAAAATCTGCCTTTTGGTTTGAGAGCGCTACTGTTGCCCGCAGCAGACAAAACCCTGGATATCATCATAGTTTTAAACTTTTTGAATTGATCATAATTCTGTCTTTAAAAAAAATCTCAATTATGTAAATACTATAATTTGAACCAGTAATTGGGATTTTATCACATGTTCAGGTTTGCTTTGCTACAGGTTCTCCACTTTTTTCATTAATAAATCCATCTTATTATTGGACTCTTTGTAACATAGCAAATACAACTCACTCAGAAATAGCTCACATAAAAAAACATTTAAAATGCAAATCAAATAAAGGTCTTACTGGTGAGCAGGCCTCCCCACCACAGCCAGTCCTTCAGGTAGCCGTGTCCTCCGTCCCCTGAGCACAGAGGAATTCAACCTGTTAAGCCCTGAGCCTGTTTTTCAGGCCTCAGGCTCCAAAATGACATTCCCAGAACAAATGACCATATCTTCTAAAAGGGGTAAATTAATAATCTTTGTTCTCAAAGCAATGATACACTTGTGAGTTGGATGTAGAAAAGTCAGAATTAATATAGATTTTTTTTATTTTAAAGTAAATTCAGATTGAACATAGTAAAAAAATGTAAATGATAGTCAAAAAAATTACTTTTAGTGAAAAGCACCCTTGAATGATGGTAAGGTAGACTAAAAGCTTTAGGAATCCAAACTATAACATATAATAAGTACCATGTGTCACGATTGATGCAAAACAAGTGACATTTGACCTTTTTAGAGAGGTTTAGAAAAAAAACCCCACCTCTGGGGTCATTTGGATGGAAATGGGTGTATTTGCCGTTTCTCTGGAACCCATTGGTCGATTTTGATGATTGACATCTCTTTTGAACTGTTACGGCCCGTCCACACGACAGCGTCGACAGCTTCAATCTGCCCATTCACTTTGAATGGGGTGACGTCACGTTGCCTCGCTTTTTCGCCGAACTGAATTGTGGGTAGCATAGCGGTCCGTCTCCGCTGTCTCCGCCGGAGTAGCCAGCGCCAGCCAATCAAATCCTGTTTCTGAAAATCTGACAGCTCAAGCCGTAGTCAATCAAACCGCGTCTAAGCTGGGAGAGATATCCCGCCGTTCATTTCTATATATTTCAAATAAAGATGGAGGAGAAACTAATCATCGCCGTAGCAAATCACCCGGTTTTGTATGACCAGACCCTCTTCACCTACCGGGATACAAACCGGAGGAACCAGGCATGGAGGGAGGTGGCAGAGACAGTGGGTGAAACTGGTAGGTTTTCGCCTGTTTGGGGAGTTTATATATATATATATATATATATATTAGGGCCGGGACTCGATTAAAAAAATTAATCTAATTAATTAGAGGCTTTGTAATTAATTAATCGAAATTAATCGCATTTTTAATCACATATATATATTTGACCTAAGAACAGTGAGAAGCAATTTTTTTCACATGGATTTTAGTATACCATTAGGCGCATTCACACCGCAGTACTTTTCCCACAAAGGATCATGAGAATTTAGTTCATGAGAACTCTTTGAATTTGGGGTTGGATTAGGCAAATGAAGCCGCTGACGTCACTTCTTCTTCTTCTGCTTTGGGTTTACTGGCAGGCCGCAAACCACTTCACGGCGTATACTGCCGCCCAAAGTCCCCTGAGTTGGTGGCTTCAGTAGAAGCTGCTGGGAGTCCCAGCAGCCTTCCGAGTAAATCGCCAGAACGCCGACACCTCCTCATCTCCACCGCTCCCATGTTTTATTTTGTGTTGCCATAAATTAGTCTCTCTGTGTTTCTTCGCTGGGCTAATGCTAATAATGCTAATGCGAGGATAATAAAATTCACAAAACTTTTTGGGAGTTTTACGGGGCGTGGTTTGCAATCCGCCCAGCCAATCAGAAATATAGCTCTTTTCTCACAAGAGAGCCGTACGAAAGTCCCTGCTCTCTAGCAGCTCTCTGCTCTCTAGCAGGGACTTTCGTGGGGGTAAAAAGGTTCTCATGAACTAATTTTAGTACCGGCTCTTTATGGTGTGAATGCGATAAAAGAGGCTAACGTCCACGCTAGCTTCCACGCTAGCTGCTATATGTTTTGCATTGAGGTGATACTTGAGGCTTGATGTGCTCCGGTGATATGCGAATTCCTTTTTGCATAATTTGCACACAACCGTGCTCTTATCGACGCTTCCATCCGTCCGTTTTAAAAAAAAACATATCCCACTGTTGTTCACTGTGGTTTGTTGTTGTCTGAAGTCATGAATGTTAGTTGGTGCTCCAGTATAATCGGTACGCCTGAAACTCATCCAGTGAGAAACGTTCCGCGGTGCAAAAATAAGTGCGATTAAAATGCGTTAATTTTTTTAACGCGTTAATTTTTGTGTAATTAATTAATCTTAATTAACGCGTTAAAGTCCCGGCCCTAATATATATATATTGCTCCCATAAAATCCCCGGGGGTTTTTGCTTTGTATGTCGGGGGCGGGAGATTCATGTGATCGCGTTGCTTGAATAAAATCCCCAAAGCTTCAGACACGCCCAGCTCCAAGCTTTTTTTGAAGCTGGACTGTGGACAGGCCGTTAGAGCCAATAGAATCGAAGGGAAAGTTCCACATACACACACATGTTACCATTGAGAAATGAAAGCTATGCGCACACAGTTTGCCCAAAGCGAAAGCTAACTTACGCTCTGAAATCTGAAAACTGAAAGCAGGTTTATTGCTGATGGATTATCAGAAATCATTTCAAAGGGAAACAGACACATTGGATTAACCTATGGATTAACCTTCAGCAGCGTTTTTATCGTTGTAATGCCATTGAAGACCACTTTTGATCAGACAACGACAAAGGTAAGACATATTGCCGTGTTGGCTACCTAATGGTACGTGGTGTGATGTTTCAGTTAGCTTCTCATGTCGCGAGTTCTGATCGGTCAGTAATGATACTAATACCTGTCGAATCTGTGCAATCTCAGCTTGCTAATCGATATCCTGTTTGTGCAGATACGATAAGTAATAAGGGTATTTTAAGGTGAGTTCTGTGCTAAGTGTGTTAGCATTTTTTCGCTCAGGGCTAATTCAGAGCCTTTGTTATTACCCTTATGTTTCATTTTGCTAAAAATGGTTAATATTGTCTGATAGATGAGTTTCTTCCCGTTAAGTGGGTATGACACATGAATAGGTTTTTAAATGTTAAGAAGCCCTGAGATGCCGTTTCTTGCAGATGTTGTGATTTTGGGGGCTTAACAGGTCAGATCAATAGAGGCAGAAAATCAAAGCCTACTTTATTTATTTTTTAAGATCTAGTAACACATGTACTTTACCATCTCATTAACAACATCTTCAGAACTCTTTAAGGGATGACACGCTGAATACTCGGTGTATACTACTGCACGTACTTGAGTAAAAGTAGAAGTACTCAGATGTTGTACTTGAGACCTCCCTCTGCTCACCTGCTCGGGTGTTTCCGCTGTCGGCCAATCGGAGGAGAGCTTTCTTCTTCAGGATGACGCTTCCACCAATCAGGACGGCCGACAGCAGCGCCAACGAGAGACCGAGCCACGGCCTGTAAGAGCTGCTGTCTGAATACACATCTGCAGACAGAATACAATCACTTTATCACACCTGGGGAAACAATGAGTACATATAATTATAATAATACTAATCTTTAATCTATTCAATAACTAGATTTTATTAAACACCCTGCCTCTTTAATAAACAGATTTTAAATGAGATCCTGGAACAATACGGATGTTTACACACAAGCAGTGAGAAGAGTTTTAACCCTAAACAAAGACCCCTCCCATCCTGAACACAGGTATGCAGGAGGTGTGTGTGTGTGTGTGTGTTACCTGTAGTAAGTGTGCTGTTCTCCAGGTGTGTGTGTAGCGTTGTTTGATCTCCATAGATTGAACACACCACCGAATGAGGGCCGCACCACAGTTGCACCCCCGACCCTGCAGAGCAGAAGCTTGTAATTTAATGTTGACATCCTGTTTACACCTAAGAAGACTCTTAAAACAGTTCCTTAAACAACGACAACTCCAACACAAGATACAACACAAAAATACAAATAGGAAGCCAAAGAAGAAACAATACAATATATTGGATGTTGATGTCCTTCTCACATTCAGTTGAATGCACATAAAGCCCTAAAAAAATGAGTAGCCCTTGCACACAGGACTAAATAAAGTTAAAGGGGCCATATTATGCGATCTGGTTTCAGACAGAGGGTGAAAAGAGGAGCTGCAGCACAGGCAGTAAGAGAAAGATAAAGGGCTTTTTGAACATTAAAGCATGAAGACACAGGTGTTCAAATGTTCCTGTGAGTGTTTGCCGAGTGTGTTTCTGCTCCCTGTGGACCCGTGAATGTGAATGTGTGTGTGTGTGTGTGTGTGTGTGTGTGTGTGTGTGTGTGTGTGTGTGTGTGTGTGTGTGTGTGTGTGTGTGTGTGTGTGTGTGTGTGTGTGTGTGTGTGTGTGTGTGTGTGTGTGTGTGTGTGTGTGTGTGCAGAGTTGAGTAATACTGGTCTGACCACAGACTCAGAGTAACCTAATGAGGAGAGCTGGCATAACACAGAGGAGAACATCAATATTTACTCTGCAAACACGGAGGCCCTGTGCTCACTGACGGAGGGAAATGTTTCACGTCTGATAAATACTTTGATATCGAGGGAATACGATTAAAGGGGCTTTAATTTGCTCCTGTGGGTATTGTCGATAGTATTCACTGTTACATGTTTGATATGTGTCAAATGTAATTCAAGCGCTTTGAGCACTCGGAAAAGCGATCTAATAAATGTAATGAATTACTATTATTATTTTACTGATGTTCAGGTGTGTATCAGTATGTAGTGTCTCTACTTTAAAGAGTCCTCTCCTGCTGATGTTCAGGTGTATATCAGTATGTAGTGTTTCTACTTTAAAGAGTCCTCTCCTGCTGATGTTCAGGTGTATATCAGTATGTCGTGTCTCTACTTTAAAGAGTCCTCTCCTGCTGATGTTCAGGTGTATATCAGTATGTAGTGTTTCTACTTTAAAGAGTCCTCTCCTGCTGATGTTCAGGTGTATATCAGTATGTCGTGTCTCTACTTTAAAGAGTCCTCTCCTGCTGATGTTCAGGTGTGTATCAGTATGTAGTGTCTCTACTTTAAAGAGTCCTCTCCTGCTGATGTTCAGGTGTATATCAGTATGTAGTGTCTCTACTTTAAAGAGTTCTCTCCCTGCTGATGTTCAGGTGTATATCAGTGTGTAGTGTATCTACTTTAAAGAGTCCTCTCCTGCTGATGTTCAGGTGTATATCAGTGTGTAGTGTATACTACTTTAAAGAGTTCCTCTCCTGCTAATGTTCAGGTGTATATCAGTGATGTAGTGTCTCTACTTTAAAGAGTCCTCTCCTGCTGATGTTCAGGTGTATATCAGTGTGTAGTGTAATCTACTTTAAAGAGTCCTCTCCTGCTGATGTTCAGGTGTATATCAGTGTGTCGTGTATCTACTTTAAAGAGTCCTCTCCTGCTAATGTTCAGGTGTATATCAGTATGTAGGTCTCTACTTTTAAAGAGTCCTCTCCTGCTGATGTTTCAGGTGTATATCAGTGTGTAGTGTATCTACTTTAAAGAGTCCTCTCCTGCTGATGTTCAGGTGTATATCAGTATGTAGTGTATCTACTTTAAAGAGTCCTCTCCTGCTGATGTTCAGGTGTATATCAGTGTGTAGTGTATCTACTTTAAAGAGTCCTCTCCTGCTGATGTTCAGGTGTATATCAGTGTGTAGTGTATCTACTTTAAAGAGTTCTCTCCTGCTGATGTTCAGGTGTATATCAGTGTGTAGTGTATCTACTTTAAAGAGTCCTCTCCTGCTGATGTTCAGGTGTATATCAGTGTGTAGTGTATCTACTTTAAAGAGTCCTCTCCTGCTGATGTTCAGGTGTATATCAGTATGTTGTGTCTCTACTTTAAAGAGTCCTCTCCTGCTGATGTTCAGGTGTATATCAGTAGTGTCTCTACTTTAAAGAGTCCTCTCCTGCTGATGTTCAGGTGTATATCAGTATGTAGTGTCTCTACTTTAAAGAGTCCTCTCCTGCTGATGTTCAGGTGTATATCAGTATGTAGTGTCTCTACTTTAAAGAGTCCTCTCCTGCTGATGTTCAGGTGTATGTCAGTATGTAGTGTCTCTACTTTAAAGAGTCTTCTCCCTAACCAATGAATTGCCAGCCTCGGGGTATTTGAACAATTTTTGAAAAATGTTTTCAGTGTGTGCACAGACTTAGTCAACAAAAAAATACTCTGTTACAGTACAAGTCCTGTATTCAAAAATGTTACTCAAATAAAACTACAAAAGTATTGGCCTCAAATATACTTATAGTAGGCTACCAACAGAAAAGTAGAGGAGTAGAAGTACAAAGTATATAATATACCTCTAAATTGTATTTATGTACAGCATTTGAGTAAATGTATTTCTTTACATGACGCCACTGCATTTAATAACCCTAAATAGTAATAAAATACATGTTAAACTGGGAAAATGTAGCTTTAAACACTTTCTCAAACAGTTCCCTTAGTGAGATAAAGAGGCAGAAACTCTATTAACGGATCAAGAACAGAAGTGAGTTTTACCGTTCCTGCAGGTCTCGTTGTCCAGGTGGACATCCCGCATCGCGCTGCTTGTTTCCGGGCAAACTCTCCGCAGAAACTCCGGGGGGAAGAACCGTGAAGAGCACCGAGCAGCTCCTGTGTATGAGGCAGGCTGAGGCTGCTCTCCACCGGACTCAAACGCTCTCTAGTCCCGGTGAGTTTCCTTCTCCACGGAGGAAACAAGTGATTCTGCAGAGAGGAGGATTAGTAAACAAAGCGACACCCGACCCCGCCCTGCACCGTCAAATGCCCCCTACAGGTGGGAAACATTATATTACAAAATGTAATACAAATATTAAACTGGATTTTTATTTTGGACTTTTATCCCACTACATCCAGGAGGTAAATATTGTATTTTTGTACTATTTATTTAACCCCTTTTGTAACGTTAACTCGTCTGATTTATAATACAAACCAGACTAAACTAATAATATATAATGTATTATTGAAAGTACTTGTTTTTTTTGAAAATGTCAAAAGCTAGACATTTGTTTTAAAGTAAGCGTCACCTTTTATAACAAATACTTTTTTATATTGCTTTTAAAACTGATCTAGCTTGTTGTTTTTTATTAGGTATTATACGTATTTACTTTTAGCGCTCATTAATTAATTACATTTTATTTTGCTTTTTATGTATTATCCTACCACCTGCAACATTAGCGTGCTGAAGACATTAATGCATAGATACATATAAATAATTAGGTTTCATTCATACTGTTAGAGCCATTTTTCCTTTTGTTATTATTGTCTGAATGTTGGGCTTAATAATAATATAAATTAGATTATACTGTAAATTATCGGCTATTTTTGTGAGTCACATTATGGTTTAAAATGAATTAATTTAAGGCTCACTTATTATTTGTTATATGTGCGTCAGTATCACGTGCATAGCTATGCCTATATATGGTCGATTGGGGGTGATCGACGGGGAAACGGATAAGTCTTTTGACCGTGTTATTTTTGTTACTTTGGAAAATGATACACTTTTGAGTTACTATGAAGCGAAGAAATGTAATTATATAATATCAATAGCCTTCTTCTAATAATAATAAAAGGGTTCTAAATCAGTGTTTCTCAAACTTTTTCATACCAAGGACCACTTAACCAATAAAAAAACACTCGCGGACCACCTAACTCCACAAATATCCAAAAACACATCATTTTTTACAAATCGCCTTAAAATGGTACAAACAAGTGGCAACATGTGTGATGAAGGTGTTTATCTGGGCTATATCATGCAATTGAAAAGCTCGTTCCATTGCGGAGATATTCCCGCGAGAGTGCGAAAAACTTAAATAAATGTATTTATTTCAAATGTGAAATTTTACCAATATACTCACGGACCACTAGGGGGCGCTGACGGACCACCAGTGGTCCGCGGACCACACTTTGAGAAGCACAAAGTTAAATACTAACTATAATAAAATATTGATAACAAACAGTATCCTGCTATTGTTTAACCTCTAAGTAATTACATTCAATATATTTTAGAATTGACAGGAATTATACAGATTATAATTAATTTCAATACATAAATTAAAAAATATGAGTATTTAAATAAAATCAAATAGATTGAAATGCTTAAAAATAAACTCTACCATGATTCATTTCTGTGAGTGTAACAAACAAATAGGTAAATTATATAATAATATTATATATATAATTTTAATTCAATTAAAATGTAACAAAAAAAATAATATTATAATAATTCAATGAAAATGAAGACAGTAATAAAATCACGTTAATAAAAAACCCAGAGTTTTCTTAATTCACAAAACTTTATTTTCTAGGAAAAATAATGTCATCCTTTTCAGGGGGTGGGGGTGGGGGGTGGTTAGTTTTCAGAGTGTTAGCTGAGATGCTAAGCTAGGCTACACAGAGTGGTTCAGTTGCAGTAGTTCTGCAGGTCGAAGATGTTGCAGGGCTGGTGGCAGCACTGCTCCACGATGCCGCGCTTCACCATCAGCTCCATCTGGTCCTTGAAGCCGAACTCTGCCACCTCGTTTTCTCCAGCCACCTTCGGGGGGAGGAAACCTGGCGGCAAACAGACGAGGGGTCGGGGATTTAACCTTTGTGTTCCTGTCACTGTGCAACTTTGATCCTGGTTTGATTTGTTCATAAAGCTTATATCGTCCCAAAAATCTGAGTTAAAAAGAGTTAAAATGTCTACGGAGACACACGGAAAAGATGTAATAGTACTTAAGATACACAACACCACTACAAAATACACTCAAAACAACTGCTTTCACATTATAATCCAATGAAATAATACCTTTTATTCAATAGAAGGCACTTTCTTGAAAGAAATGAGTAACTTAAAACAACAACTTCAATCCTCACTGTGACTCATTTTAGTGCACTTTTTATGTGATACTGGATGTTTCTTGGGGTCTCACCCATCAGGGGGTTCACGTCTCTCTTGGGGTTGTAGAAGAAGCCTCGTTCCCCACAGACCAGGTACAGGGCGTCCACCAGGTGAGACCCACACAGGTGTTGAGGGCCCGGAGCGGCTCGGGAGCCCGGCAGAGAGACCAGCACCAGAACCAGCAGGGACACGGACTGGAGCCACAGAGCCGTCATGGTGAAGGAGCTGCACACACACACACACACACACACACACACACACACACACACACACACACACACACACACACACACACACACACACACACACACACACACACACACACACACACACACACTTTGTTAATACAGACACATTTCATTTGATTTAGCAGTAGTGCTGTTGTGTCTCTCAAAACAAACTGTTTATTATTATTTATCTTAAAGTATTATTTCTACACGGTGGTGGTACTTCAGTACTGCAGTAACAGACCTGAGCAGTACATAACATGTTATTATTGAGTACTATATTTAAATTGGTATGAATTCAAATGATTAAATAAGAACACATATTTAAAGTAAAAAGATTATCAAAAATATAATTGAAATAAATATAAAGAAATAAAGAGATGTGTCTCACCTGTAGAGGAGGAGGAGATGCTGTGATGAAGAAGAGGAGGAGGAGGTGAGCTTTTGGATGTGAGGCAGAGAAGAAGGCCTCCCCTCCTTATATACACCTCCAACCTGCGTGTGTGTGTGTGTGTGTGTGTGTGTGTGTGTGTGTGTGTGTGTGTGTGTGTGTGTGTGTGTGTGTGTGTGTGTGTGTGTGTGTGTGTGTGTGTGTGTGTGTGTGAGCAGCACTCAGTTAAACACACACAGTTAATGATCTGTGTGATGTGATCGCCTCTTATTGACGGACACTGAACACCAATCTGCTGCTGAGCTCAGCGACTCAACCGCGGATTACACATTTCATATTTCATTTTTAAAACGTGTATAACTCTGTATCCGTCTAGCACGACATTTATTTATTTGGAGTTCATTTATTTTAGCAGAAGTCAACTATTTCCAAAACGTTGGAACAATTTACTGTTAACATGTTATTTAGAGTATATTTGAATTAAAAGTTGAGGAGCTTTTCAGATCTAAGTTATATTTAAGTTTGTAAAATACTTTGCAGAAATGTGCATAAATTATGAAATGAGTTATGTTAAGATATATCAGAATCAAAAACACTTTATTTTCCCCGCAGCGGGCAAATCGTGCGGATAAAGTGAGGTGCACACGTTATTAATAACACAATAAGTACAAAAACAAAACAGAAATAGCAGATATGTACAGCATGTAACAATCGTGAAGTTGCTGGAGGGTATATGTGAAAGAAGCTGAAAGAAGACTTTAAATGTTTGTTGGAAACTGCCAGCTCTCTAAATGCAGAGGTGTTCATCAGTGGCCCTCTACTGCCAGTCAGAAGAGGAGTGGAGAGATTCAGCAGATTGTTTGCACTGAACACCTGGCTTTCAACGGCCTGTACTGACCATTCTGTCCATTTTATTGACAATTTTAACTTTTTCTGGGATCGCAGACATCATTTCAAGGCAAATGGAGTTTGCCTGAACAAGTCAGGAGTGAAATTGTTTATCTCTAACATATTCAACTGCCTGCGTCATCAATCTGTTCCCTCTGCCAAGGACAAGCGGCAAGAGGAATCAAAACAGGAGAAAGACACAACACATCACGCAGAAAACCCTGAAGAATTATCACTGCACCCGCCTGAGGAATGTTCTGATTATGGGAGACATATGAGACACATGGAGGAGTCTCCACTGCCCCCCCCCCCCCTGTCAACGCCTTTGAGGATACTCTGTTCACCCTTTCACCCTCGCCCACCCTCCTGGAGATCGCTGAACACACAAAGGAGATACAGAGGGTTGGCACCGATTCCTTCCTGGAGTTCAAAGACCAAACGAAGGCGATACGCAGGGCTGGCACCATGTCCTTTACCCCCGCTCCTCAACGACGCCCACCAAAATCACCGCGGAGACGCGCACCATCTCCCCCGTCCTCATCACCGCGCCTACGTCAACCACCTCCCCCCCCTGGCAGCATGTCCTCTACCCCCGCACCATCTAGCCCGTCTCCATCACCGTGCCTACGTCGACCACCTCCCCTCCCTTCGAGGGGGCTTCTGCAGTCTCCGAAGCCTGATAAGGATGTGTGTGTACAAAACACAACAAACTCTTACTGATATGTGATGGGTCCAGGCTCAAGGGCGTATGGCACTCTCAACTCTTTCCAGGACATGTCGGGGCCCTGCCTGCCAGTAGCTTTGCCAATATCTGTGTTGATAGGTAATAGATTAAGAGCGGTGAATCATAGAAACAGGAAGCGCTCAAACGTTTGTGTGAGTGTATCTAATTTAGCAGTGATTCCATGTCAGCCACAGCTTGTTACAAAAAACCTGACTGATAGTGTGTTTAACAAACTTAAAATAGCTTTATTAAATGTCAGGTCCTTTGGCAGGAAAAACATTTTTAATCAATGATTTTATCACTGAGCACAATCTCGATTTTATGTTTTTAACAGAAACTTGGATTGAACAAAATAACAGTGCAGCTGTTCTTATCGAATCAACCCCTCCCAACTTTAGTTTTATGAGTCAGGAAAGAATGCATAAGAAAGGGGGTGGAGTTGCTATTCTGTTCAATGATTCCCTTCAATGCAGGAAGACATCGTATGGAAACTTTGATTCTTTTGAATATGTGGCCCTTCAGGCTGAAATGCTCCTCTCGAGCTCTGTTCCTAAATATCTATAGACCACCCAAATACTGTGCAAGCTTTTTTGATG